AGCTGTATAAGAGCTGGGGACCGATATGGCACAGGCGTGCGGGGGGCATAGAGAATTTTGCTTATTCTACATGCCGGGGAACGGCCGTAAGATGGACCATCATTTTTTGATACTGTCGGAACTATTAGTGCCAAAAATTCAAATAATAATAATAATACATGTCGGGGATCACTGGGACGGGGCCACGAGGGAGGTGGCGGCTGCCGAGAACGAGAGATGGCAGCACAGCGGCGAGATGACAACAGCCCAGGATGGACTGAAGTCATCAAAATCGCTTGGGGTAGGGCTGACCCATCGGGCGATCCTAGGGTCTAGATCCGATCAATTAGCCCCTCATATATAGATATTCCAAATTTTTATTTTTTTCCTCATTGAAGTAGTTTTGAAGATAATTGCTAATAAAGCTAATNAGATTTTAATTTTTGTTTTAACCGGAGTTGTGGTAAATTCAGCGTTTTGCCCATAAGACCCTGTGTTATATAATGGATTTTCAACATTTCCTTTTAGAAAAACTTGAACGACAATTAAATGAGGAAAAAATTTATGATTCCGAATCACACCGAATTTTTAGGCGATTTGTTGTAGTTTTTAAAAATGTTTGAATTGAAATATAACCCCTAAAGGGTAGAGCTACTTTAAGTTACATAGAGGGCATGTAGAGTTTGGGTCTAAATTAAAAAAATTTACCATTAATAAAAAAAGTACTTGAAATATTGTTTGCAAGCCTGACCTGGGCTTTCACCTTTTTAAAAGCTATTGGAAGGCGGTTCGTAATAAGGTATGGCGCAGGTCGTAATGCAGTTTCAGAGGAGATAGTGCTATATAGTTGCAGGAATCTGGATTTTTTTGCCGATAAGAGGTCTTGCTCTTCTAGATAGGATTCAAGAGAGTGAAGGAGGACGGGCTCCATCTGCTATATAACAAAACATTCGAGAAATATCCGATAATTTTGAAGGTTTTGGGGTACTATAGCTGACAATTTCCTCAATTCTGATCTTAACCAATCAGAGTGTAGTATGCGCGGTCACGTGACACACTTCACACTGATAATTTCCCTGTAACCTGTCAATTGTTTTCTACAAATTTGACAGATATACCTCACATTTTGGTGAAACCCCGAACCCCGCACCCTGATCGGCCAAAATCAGAATTGAAGAAATTTCCCTCCGAATACCCTTCGATCTTCAAAATTCATCGGATATTTCCTCCAAGTTTTTCTGCATATCAATGATTGGGATCAGTTTTGCAGTAAAACCCCGAGCGCGCGGCGCCAGCTGCATAGCTAATGCCACTCGTTGCTATAATTTTGCTGAGCCTCATTATAACCCTCGTGCTGCGCACTCGGGATTTTTAGCCTGCAAAACGTGACATTTTCATTTGTTTGCAACAAAGCTATCGGGAAATATTCCGATAATTTTGAAGGTCTCGGGATATTATAACTGAATATTCAGACGAAACAAAAATTTTTAATAGCGTAGCGTAAGATTCATTAAAGATCTCTATATAGAGGATTCACCTCCAGATATTGAAAAGGATTTTCCCAACAAAGTAATCATGGAAGTATTCGTATATCCAGAAACCGGAAGTCACGAATAAGAAACTCCGACAAGTGGGATGAAGTGGGTGCAGTTCACCTTCATTCCATACAAACCCCCCTCCCTTTCCAATGCCCCAGAGGACACAAATGAGTGAAAAAATCTCCATTAATCACCGGACTCCACCGAACCGATTGACTGAAATGCTGCAGCCTAATATAGTCCTCAAACGTCATTAAAGTAGCGGCGTAAAAAGTCGAATGAGATTGAAAAGCCTTAAATGCTCGTACCGTGAATCACCAGGTGGATTGAGTACTTGTTCTCGACTGGAACACGCAGGACGTTCGCTAGCATGACGAAATCGAGGTAAACCTGGTCGTGCGCCCCCCGGTCTACAGACAAATAGGTGGTACGCGCAAGTAATTCGAGTGTTTCAACGGTTCACTTTTTATTCTCCTCAATGTAACAATTGAGTTCCGCTTGGCTAAATGCGAATGAACGGCGCGCAGGGTTAACAGTTAATTGACATCAGGCATAACAAGTATATGAAATGCCAAGCATTTTAAACTGATCGAACAATTGATTGTGTCTTATCGCTCTATATTACACACCAACCGGATCTACTCTTACTCTATTTGTGTTATTTTTTTTATTTGAAAGTTTCACCTTTTGCTGTGTCTCTCGGCGAGACTGTTTCAATACTTCGAGGACATGCACGCACGTTTGTCCCCTCGTGACAATATGATTATTTCTTTACTCTATTTTTGGTTAACTAGAGCTACCGCGAGACAATTTTTGGGGAGTGATTGATGGAGTCTGAGAGTATTTGCAATTGGGACACAATAATTCAGTAGCGAAGCGGTAAACTGGGTTCAGTCGATTTTGCTCATTGGTCAGTTTTTGACGAATATCTCGGAATCTAAAAGAGAGAAAAATTTTTGTCATGACCTTTTTTGTAGAGCCAATTGAGGGTTACAAAAAAGGTCATGAGAGAAATTTTGCTATCTCTCTTAGATTCCGAGATATTCATGAAAAACTGGCCAAGAATGAAAATCGATTTAACCCGAAATTTTGTTTTGAAATTTTATAAATTCATTGTCATGTCGGAATAGGTAATTCAGGAAAATGCAGTGAGAAGAATTTACGGAAATTACCGTATAAATCGTGTATAAATCGTGAGTATCGTTTTTCGGATAAAACAGCATTAAAAAATATCTCGAGCCTAAAAATTATGTTTCAATAGGACAGTCCAACATTTTAAATGTTTTTTTTATCCGTTTAGTCCATTACCAGTGGACAGTTGATTTCAAAACGAACATAGGATCATAGCCATTTCCATTGTATGCGGAGAGATATTCAGTAAAAATTACGGAAGAATCCACGTAATCCGCAATGGGAACTCGTTTTCCGGTAATTTTTATAGGAATGAAAGAGAAGAAATCTGAAACGTTCAGTGAATTCTCAAGTTCATCTCCGAACAAAGTATGAAATTGTCATGTAATTTTTCCCGAAGAAGTAAAAACTTACAGAAACTGCCCGACTGATTATGCCTCCGAAATAAAAAATCCTTGAACGTTCATCAATTTTTATGAAGCTGGTGAGTTATTTCTACGTTCCGTTCCGTAAAATTTCTCAACCGTTGGGGAAAAATTACGGAACGACTTGTTGTCCACACAGCGGTGAGTCATCAAACGGGTGGTTAATTTTTACGGAACAAATCGGAGAATTTACGTAGTGATTCGTACAATTCCAGTTCCGACTCACACTTTTTATTGAATTTTACTTCATTCGCGGATTACGTTTTAAAACGTATTTTTTACGTTTTTTTCTGATAATTTTTATTGAATTTTTCTCTCCGTGTACCTATTCTTTTAATTGCCGACATTTCTGTGAAATATTAGAACATTACTATAATTTATGCATTTTTATAGGTTTTTTAACCATCTGAAATCTCAATCAAGGGATGTTTAATCCCATTTTACGAAGATGAGCGCAATTTCCGATTTTTTAAATTTCAAAATCTTCATATTCTTTGGAAAAACTTTAAATGTCAGATGTCTTTTCTATTGCGAGTCTCTTCCTATCACTATATACTTCATCCTTTAATTTTGAAATCGCTGAGTATTATTGAAGGCGTGAGGAAATACTGAGAAATTTATGTTCGAGAAACTATTGACATTTATTCAAATGAATAACAGATGCGTAATAAAACAATCATGAAATCGGCTTCTGTATTTATATCCAGGAAGAGATACAACCGTGACGGATATCCTCTCGGTTCAAGTGACAATTTAATTAAACGTCATGCGCTTGAGATTAAATCACTGACCTCATCCTGATTGCACTCAGTGGGAAAGCCGATGAGCTGTTTTCTATTACGAAATTTCTCAATTTCGCTTCACTCATCCTTCCTCCTGGGGAGAATGAATTAACTTCGTAAATTGGCGAATGCATCACTTCCATCTGGTTTACTTCTGAGTGAAATGTCTTCCTTTGGGTAGAAATTCGTTAACGAGGATTTTTTATCCGAATAATTTTGTGAAGATATCTATCTATATTATAAAATTCCAAATCCGTTTCTGGTGATAAAAAATAGTTACACGAAATTGAGTCCGAAATTAAGGGTCACAAGGGTCATGAGGGTCAGAATAGGGGTTATGAAGGTCAGAATGAGGGTTACCATGGTCAAAATAAGGGTGAAGTCCAGAAGAAGGGCCACAAGGTTCAAAATAAGGGTCATAAGATTCAAAAGAAGGGCCGCAAGGGTCAGAATAAGGATCCAAATAAGCGCAACAATTCATTAAAAAAATCATCACATTCGTCACAAATTCATACAGGACACATACTGATTTATAAATTGTGTCTCATTTTTGCTCTCAAATGAAAACATTGTATTTGTAAAATCAAAAATTTTCAATTTTTTGTGTCAGGATAACTAATTTTGGTCTCAAGAGTTCAAATATGCTGTTTTATGTGTTTCCATTGAAATTCTCTTCGTGTGTGAAGAATAATTTGGATTACTACTATCAGTTTACCTTTTTTTTAATGAAATAACAGTTGAAGGGAGCACAGGTACTCAATTTTAAATGCAATAATTCCATAAAATAAAGCGAAATACTGTTAAAGTCCGGTGTAAAATCAAAATTTTCTTCTGTGTTCATCTCACAGTAAACATAAATCTCAAAACATTTGAAATATAAAACTCTGTTGACATTCAGAAGCGAATCAGGGGAATTTTCGTCAGGATTTTTCTTACTATTCTTGATACTTTTGAATGATAAACGGAAGAAATATTGGAAAGAGACAGACCGGTTCGAAGAAACTCAGAGTGAGAGCCTCACTCATGATCCAAACTCTTCTGGGGACAGTCTTCTCTCTCTCTTTCTCTCTCTCTATCCTGACATATCCCATTCGCCTCACAACAAGAAACTGTGGAACCAACTTCCTTCAGTAGTTGTTCGCCAACCGAGCGTCTCACGTTTATCAGGCTCCGTTGAGCACTCCGAAACCCACACGCGAAGATCGATCGACGGATTTGTCATCGCGATCCATCGGAAATCAATGAAACACATATTTTCTCAATTTTTTGTTGCTAAATATTTCCCAGCTCATTCTCAACGTTAGATAGAATTACTTTTTATGGCACTTTGCGCATAAATGTTGCACGGGATTTTTTTCAAGTGACAGTTGGTTGAAAAATTGCTTGAGGATGTTGTGTTAATGTGTCGCACTTAATTTACTAAATTTTTTCTTCACCTCTGGGATGAAAGAGAGAACCTTGGAATTCTTCTCACTGTTTTGAGAGTGAATAATCCCATTGATGTAAAGTAAGTAAAGACAGACGATTCCTTTTATTTTAGTCACTTTGTAGTCTGTCTCAAAGAAGAAAAAAACACATCGTTTTATCTTAAAATCTTGACCTTTGCGTGAATATCCTGGGAATTTCGAAAATACATAAAGATTTTTTGAGAATTATTCTTCTTCTTTTAATGATTTTTTTTTTAATCCAAAGGAATTCCATTTCCTATTTCAGTTTTTTTGCTTCCGAATGGAAGCATTGCAATCGTTTAAATTTAAGTTTCGGATTTTCTGTGTTATATCGACCCATTATGATGCAAAAAGTCCGAAAATGCCATTTTTAGACCGTGTCCGTACGTGTGTGTGTGGTAAAGTTTTTTTTCAATTGTTCGCTAATGAATGTATGAAATTGAATCTTTTTTTTTTCAAATGTATGTATTGTTGAGCCCCATCGATCACCATTGATTAAAATTTAATTCGTCGATTAGTTTTTTTAATTTTCAAATTTTTTCGAAAAGCGGCGGTCCCACGACAATTAAAAAAATGTTTTGAATTGATTGAATGATGGCTTAAAAAAGTTGTTTGGATGTCCCTTTTATCGAGTTCGAAGATAAAGACGATAGCAATAATCGTTATTTTGATTTATTAGAAAATTTTCAAAAATTTTGTATTTTTTGAAAATCAGAATTCCGGGGATATCTTTGAATACCATGCTTCAAATGAATTCAATCATAGCTTAAAATGTTTGTTTTAATGCCATTAAGTCGAAGTTAAAAGATGATTACGATAGCTATATTGGTTTATTTGATTTTTATGATTGTTGAAAATTTTTCATTTTTCATGGATTTCCCTGAAAGTGAGCTTTCTGATGGTTTCTTCAAATGTGATGTTTCAAATTCATTAAGTATATGTAAATAAAATTATTCCATTAACATTTTATCGAAGGGCTGAGGGGAGAGATAGAACTGTAAAAAACAATCGGTTGTGTAGAAGAAATGGGATAATAAGAATAATGATGCTGATAACATTCAACTACGTTGAAAATCTGACAAAATTAGGTAAAAGGAAATGTTATTCAATTTAATACAAGTAAATAAACAATGAATTCAGTAGCGAAGCGGTAAACTGGGTTAAGTCGATTTTGACTATTGGCCAGTTTTTGACGAATATCTGGGAATCTAACAGAAATAGAAAAATTTTTGTCATTACGTTTTTTTTAGAGCCAACTGAGGACTATAAAAAAGGTAATGAGCAAAATTTTGCTATCTCTCTTAGATTCCGAGATATTTGTCAAAAAATGGCCAAAAGAAAAAATCGACTTAACCCGGTTTACCGCTTCGCTACTGAATTATACATGATAGAAGGAAATTATGTGCAAAATAACCATTCGGACGCATATTGCTAATTTATTAGCAAAAATAACTATACTATTTATGATACAAGAGCTATTTCCCACTTGTTTTTTAATTAATCAATGGAAAATTCTGGATTCGCCAAATAGGTCAATTATCCCTAATCCTTTCTATTGATTCAACAATTTTGAAAACAATTTTGAAGGCAATTATTAGGTGAAAAAAATCGAAAAACAGAATCAATAAAAAAATTATGACAAATTCACCAATCGGATTTTGACGTGTCCCGAGTGAGCGATCAAGGCCAAATTTGTGGGGCCCAGTTGAGGGGAAAACGGGAGCAGAAGTTTGTCTTGAATATCTCAATGATCGCTGAATGTATCATTAGTTGGGCGTTTTTTCCAGTCACTTAATTACAACCATATTAGCAAGTAAACGGTGTCAATACGGGATACAGCAGGTGTCGACTCGTTTCTCCAGTGGTATCAAACACTTGAGCAGCCAATTTTACGAACGTGTAATTTGGTAGCTGGTGTGCATGGTCAACAAATATGGCAATTCAAGAAAAACATAGAATTAAACTGGTTGTATCCTCGGGCCACAAAAATCGAAACGTAATTCTGTCAAATTATTTGATTTCCGAGTGACTCGACCTCAATAAATATTTCTCTCGTTCAGTGGATAAAAAATTATTCCCAAAAAAATCAAAATTAGCTCCCTAAATTTTTGAATTATTTTTTGATAATAAAAAATCAATAATATTTTTTTTTCACAATTCTTTCAATTTTAATCAACAGAGTAAATATATAAAATATAATTTTTGAAAATCTGCGATTATTATATTTTAATAGCAAGTAAAAAAGAATTTTCAATTCATTCTATTTTTTAAAACAATTTTTCAATCCTAAAATTGTTGTAATATTTAAAAACTATTTTGTTTTTTCGAAAATACTTCAGTGTTCGTTTTTGGAGCCGTTGATATTCGTGGCGTGGAAATTTGAACGAAAACACCTCTTACTCTGTGGCCCGGGTACCAAATAAAGGATGAATAACTCGAGAGAGTGAGAGTTCCCGGTCTAAAATAAAAAGCGTCAAAGGCCATGCGTATTATGTATTTCGCCGTTTGAAGAGACCCCGTTACAATATTGCGTCACGCGTTAGACTAGCGCCTCTTGACAGTGGAAGCGTCAGTGAATCACACATGAATTATCTAAATGGTTATCTAAACACACCATTTTCAGAATCATCATTCAATTTACAGAATTCTGTGAAAGATTTTTTTGTCGATGGAAGCCTTTTCAACATTTGTCGTTGAACATTAGTCTTATTTGATTACATATGTCGGAATATTTTGTAATGGATTCATTATTTGTACTTCAAAGCTTTGAATTTGATTCGCCATTTCAAATCGTTAGGAAACACTTTGAAAATTTTAAAAAATTAGAAAGTCTAGTGTTTTGGATTTTATAAATAATTTATAAGAATCACTTATCGACACAAATTTTTTTTCATCGAAATTGTGACAACTTTCACACGGTGAAAGATACCTGTTGAAAATTATCCCGAAGAAATGGGCAGAAATTATCTAATAAAAAGTGTGTAATAAATGGTTTTTTGCTGTATATTTTGAAGATCGTCTAGCGTTATAATTTCCATGGAACAAATGATAATTTCAAGGGGAAATTATAATTTTCTTGCCGAAAATTGTGTTATTGACAAAACTAAATAATTTCGAGGGGACAATTGTTTTTCCTGCCAACAGTTCGAATTCATTTAGGGATAGAAAAACAAAATGACATGAATTTTTCATTTTTCCTGAATCTTCCTGATTTTTCTGAATTTTCACAGAATAATTGAACTGAAAAATCAAGTATTTTATTGATTTCCAGCTTATTTGAACAGAAAATCAATGGACTATTTGATTTTCGAATGACAACATTTCCTGCAATTTCATTGGAACTTGAAAACGATAAAAATTTCCAAAACTTGCCCCGGAAAATTCAGACCAAAATTTTCAACATTGCGACCCAAAAATGAATGAGCTACTGATTCAATACCTCTCCCTTCTGTTCCAGATCGTCTGGGATAAGTCGCCTGGCGCCTCCAATTAATCCCCGTTACTTTATCTCCGTCCTGTGTACCCAAGCAGCACAAAACCCCGAAGGCATTGAATAAAGAAAGAAAAAGCCATGAGAAAAAGCCATCTCAAAATAACTCGGACGAGAAATACCCATCAGTATCAACGATTGGATAATTAAAATCCCGCAGAAATGGAGTGCGATATGGTCCAAAAACAGGCGCAAACTAATATTGATATTCCAAAGTTTTAGATGATCAAATAATTAATTATCGAGATCGTCTAGTCGACGCAGAGATGTCTCTCGCCAACTTCAGTCTGCCATTTCAACTGGCAACGCCTACCCCGTACATGTTCCCTCCTGACGTGGGTCAACAGACACCAATCAGTAATTTGAGATTCAATGCAGTGGTCCCGAGCGATAATTTCGGAAGAGAGAGACGTTACCAGAATGAGCCTTACATTCCCCCAGCTGCTTATCATCAGCAGGAGCATCAGAGTCGCGACGTTACGCAGCAGGAGCACCTGCAGTCGAGGCAGAGGCAATATTACAAGCAGCAGGTACCGCAGCAGCAGTTCCGGAGTCAGGAAGTGCCACAGCAGCGGTTTGAGAGCTCGCAGGAGAGTAGGTACAGCTATGGACAGGATTTCAGGAGAGCACAGGCTAGGCATCAGGGGAGAGTGACACCCCAGCAGCAGATGGCACCTCCACCAGCAGTGGAGGTAGCTGCGCAGCAGGACATGTCTAGGGTTGCTCATCATGGACCTGGTACTGGGGAACAAGAATCTTATCCGGAACGACCTGACGGGTGAGGCTTCTCAGCTTCAAATATTGAGGGCCAGTTGGCGCTATCACAATTTGAGGGTGCCAATCGTGTTTGATAATTTTTTTTTCCAGTGTTTTTTCACACGGAAAAACCTAAACGTAAATTACGCTCATGGGGAACGGAACCCCTTTGTCTGTATGAACTTCTAGAATTGTGTTTACTCCGACAATTATTAATTTTTATCTAGGAAACTACTTTATCTACTCGATCATTGAATTGTTGAGTCAATGAAGTAGTTTCATAAATAAAAAATAATGATTGCAGGAGAAAACACAGTTCTAAAAATTTAGTTAGACACAGGGATTCCGTCTCACCTTAGGGGGAGACTACTAGGAGTTTTAAAAGTCGTGGTATATAGATCTGAAAACGAATAATTAATTAATTAATAATTAATTAATTGGCCAAAATGATTTTTTAACGCTCTAATTTTCACAGATTCATTGTCCGAGCGGGAGTCTCGCAAGGGACGACTGTACCTGGTCAAGGTTTTTCCCTCAAGTGAGGTTTTTGCTTGGCCCTCGGCGAATGCGGTACAAGGGGTTGGAGGTGGGAAGGGAACAAATCGTAAAAAGCCGAGAGGGTATACGAAAGAACGAAAAAATATAAAAAAATGAAAATGAGTTGCGCTGCGCTCATTAAACGAGTGATCAAGGATTAAAAAGTCGTCTTTTACGCTGTCTGATGTGTAAATTACGCCAAACATCGCTGTAAATTACGATTACGTAAACGTAACTTACGATCTAATTTTCGTAAATTACACTCAAAATCACCGTAAGTTACGGTTACATAAGCGTAATTTACGGTCTCGTATTCGTAAATTACGATTATTTTTTCCGTATTTTAAGTTTACTTATCCGTAATTAACGACGAAGAAAAAAAGTTATTTCAAGTGTAAAATACGATTTTTTTCAGAAATTAGGCACAAGTAAATCGGAAGATACGTTTCTATTATGATCGAATTGTGAAGCGTAAAATGCCCTTAGTAAAGCGTAAAAAATGCTTCGTTTGAATTACGTAATTTACGTTTAGATTTTCCAGTATGTTCCCTTCACTAGTACAGCAAAATGTATTAATCGATCCGACAAAATTTCAACCCGCAACCGGAACTAGATTTAAGAAAAAAATGAAATTCTATTAGTTGACAATCAGATGGAAGAATAATCAAATTCATTCGCTGCTAGGAAAACTATTCATTTATCATGAATTAATGAGATGTTTCCTGAAATTTCGGTGAATAATATTGACAATTCACTAATTCAACTGATTTATCCATACTCAGAGTTAATTTTGGAAGATGAGAGGAAGTCTCTCCCCACTTCACAAAGTTTCTAACACCAATCTGATGTGCGTTCAATTGATCCACACCTGAGGAGAAAAAAATTTGTATTTTGAAGGAAGATAACACGTGACGTATATTCGAAAGTCGTGGTTTGGCAATTCGATTTTACAAACGTGAAACCTGCTCGAGATGGAAAAAAAAGAAACTCGTCTCGTTTCCATGCCACTTTTTTTTCGGCTTTTTGTTCCGGGGTTTATACCCGCTGTACATTTCGTTTTTGTTCCTTTTATTCAAAACGAATTACATTCGTTTTGTTTGAGAGGTAAAAGGTGATACTCTGAAATGAAATTCGGAGCGAAAGCGATGAGTGGACGGTGGTTTATTGACTCTGGGTTAATTGAACGTGCTCAAGAGTTTTAAGAGCATTACCAGGAAGAATTCTCGCTGTAATTTTTTTATTGTACTAAGAATATCCGAAGGAATGTTTGCACTCCATTCCCTTCTCTTAACCAGACTCAAGGTTCAGATGAACTTCACTCACAGGTTTATTAACGGACTTAATAAGAAATACTTGACCAGAAAAAAATATTCAAAATTTCATCGGAAAGTCAAAAATCAAAAAATTAAATTTTTGTATGCAATAAAATGAAAAAAAATTGAAAATAATTAAAAATCCCTTGACTGAGCTTTCGGACGGTTAAAAAAGCAATAAAAATGGATAAATTATAGTAATATCTTGATATTTCACAGAAATGTCGGCAATTAAAAGATGCAATGGAAATGGCAAAGGGATCCATAAATCAGACTTTAATTTACTGTTAAATTTTGAAGTAGTCAATCCGTTAATATCACTCTTAATTTCTTAATTATTCAAGTAATCATCAATTCAAATACTCAAATTCCGAATTATTTTATTAATCACTAATTTAGGTAGGAAGATTGATGATTATTTGGTTAATCGAAAATTCCTTTTATGAAATTAGTATTATTTAATGAATAAAATTTACAGTTTCATATTATCAATTATTTAATTCATCATCAATCGGAAATTTATATTTCAATTATTTAACTATTTTTCAATTTCTTTATCAATGTAAGTCGGAAATTCTTTTAATACTGAAGAATTGTAATATTGATGGCCATCCCTGAAATGGCATTGATCCTATGCTCGTTTTGCAACCAATTGTCAACTGGTCTAAACGGACTAAACGGATGGAAAAATCATTTAAAAGGTTGGACTGTCCAATTGAAATATAATTTTGTGCCTCGATATATTTTTTAATGTTGTTTTATCCCAAATAGGATACTCACGATGTAATTAGTTCGAATCTAACCTTTCCATATAATTAAAATCACGAGACGAGGATAGGGACATGTGTCAAACGTTCATGGGGACAAATGAGCGAGCGCAGGGACATGGGACTTTCCAAGTTTATGGACGATTATTTATTAAAAAATAGTAATTATCATGACTAAAATAAGTAAATTCTAATGCTGAAGTTTTTACTTTCTGATATCTAATTTAAAACATCGCATCTTCCCACTCATTTCAATAGAAATATATAGGACCAATGATGTATTCACTTTAGCTACGCGAGCGCAGCAAATTAATAAATTAATAATAGCTCACAATCAATACATTGCCCCAATTGCTCCAGATACACGCGTGTAAATGGCGGCTCTTACGTCGGTCCAGGTGCTAAAACTTCGGTCCACGCTGTATTAGATTACGACGAGGACGAGGAGGATGGGGAAACTGACGTGGAGGACTATTACGACGAGAATATCCCGAATAATGTCCGCGTCACCCCCATCCAGGGACCAATTTACATAAAGAATGGATCCGTACCAGTTGTCCCTCTATACTCATACCCTCAACTCAACAACGGAACATTTCTGCAAATACCGGTGAGTAACACATCCTTTTCCACTTCTCGCCTCTTTGTTTTACCATTTTTTCGCTGGTTTAAAATGCGACCCACAGACATTCTCATTGTCCGTTGGATTTCATGTTACTTGTCTCGTGTAACTCGGCTCATAAAAGCCATGAGCCCATGATAAATTAGGGGCGGCGAGGGGGAGGTGTCCTTTCATGTTGCGTATGAAATGAGAGTAATGAAGCATAAAACTCATTATTTTGTAATTATTCTTGGAATTCTCTTTTGCGACGGTGTCGTGGCGAATTTATGGTTTTTCTCTCTCTGTAAGTTATGTTATTCAATTTATTTTCAATTGATTGAAGTGCGATGGAGAATATTCGCAAGAGAAAGTAATCGATTCATCAGTTTTTGAATAATTTGAACAGTTGAATAATTTTCATGAGTGTGTCAAGAGAATTCGTTTGAGAGGACAGAAATGAATTTTCAGATTTGGAGGAAATGACAAATCTAAATGTTCGATGTTGAAAGACATTTGAATCATCAGAATATACTTATCAAATTTTGATATTTCAGTTTTCATTGACTCAACGATCAAGCTTCTCTGAGTTATTGAAATTCATCAGAGAGTGAATGATCGACGCTGGATGACTATCAATTTATCCTCCGTTATGCCCGCATGACATTTCCCGCATATAATCATTTCACACACCCACGTAACCTCTGCGATCATTGCACGGAGCCAAGATTCTGCGGTTGATAAAGTTTGGCGCCCGTTAAATTTTCATTCTGAAGTCTTTTTTTTCATTCAAATTGCACTTGCTCTTTTCACTTAGCATTAACCCGGGTGATTTTAAGTGGTGGTAGGACTTGATATTTATGTCTTACCATGCGCTATGGAATTTAATTTAGAAATTTAGAATACTTTAAAGATATCCAAGTACTTTGGCTATTTTTCTCCAGTAAAATGCGTTTATAATTTTGTAGTCGAACATCAGAGCTTTCATTTGAGCCCCATTTGACCCCAAATTTCCGGAAATTTTACAATTATTTTATTATTTGAACTTTGCAGGAATTTATTTGAACTTTTAATTAGCAAAAAAAATTATTTGAAGTCAAAATAACAAACCAATAATAATTAAATTGAAAAATTGATGAATGCAGCCGAAACCACTAATTTCTGGACGACGTGGCCATATTTTTTTATTTATTAAAAATGTCGATCAACAGAATAATAATTGATCACATAATTACACTCGAGTAATATTATTGAAAGGTGAAGTAATCAGAATAATTTTCATTTTATTTATGGAATATTCAATGGAAGTTGAAATCGTCCAAGAACTAACCCCGTCCAACAATTGGCCTGTTTATCCTACATGGAGAGAAATATTCAGTAAAAATTACGGAACAATTCGCGTAATCCGCAACAGGGAATCATTTTCCGGCAATTTTTATAAGAATCGAAGAGAAGAAATCTGAAACGTTCAGTGAATCAGATCCAGCACCGAACAAAGTACGAAACTGTCGCGTAATTTTTCCCGAAGAAGTAAAATCTTACAGGAACTTCCCGACTTATTATGCCACAAAAATCAAAAATTCTTGAACGTTCAACAATTTTTATGAAGCTGGTGAGTTATTTCTACGTTCCGTTCCGTAAAATTTCTCAATCGTTGGGGAAAAATTACGGAACGACTTGTTGTCCCCTCAGCGGTGAGTCATCAGACGGGTGGTTAATTTTTACGGAACAAATCGTAGAATTGACGTGGCGATTCGTGCAATTTCAGTTCCGACTCCCACTTTTTATTGAATTTTAATTCGCTCACGGATCACGTTTCGAAACCTAATTTTTACGTTTTTTTTTCTGGTAATTTTTATTGAAATTTTCTCGCCGTGTAGGAGGAAAGGTGCGGTTGGGGTCACCCGTACATCCATGCAAACATCCATAATATCATACGAGATGTCTCAAAGCGGTTTAAATTCATTAATACAACCCAGTGAATTTATGCAAATTTATGTAAATTTTCTCGCGAAGTGTTCAAGTAATTCCAACTAACTCAACTAACTATGCAACTATGTAGCGTTTTATAGTTAGTTACACAAGCATTGAACATGTCCACCATTACAAAATTATTGCATTTGAAACCAAGAACAGAAATTATTCACCGCAGGGGGGAAAAAACCTTACACCCTTTACGACTGCATTAACCATAATTGCGACATTCCGTTGAGCGTACTTTACGATCCCAGGTCACTGTAACAAAGATCTGGAGTAACATAATCCCAGCATCAGAGGAGAAAAATAGTAAAACGGAGAAGGAGCAAAATAAGAAGAAAATGTGCTCATCTCCTCTGCCAATGTTCGATATATCGTTCTATATATTTTTCAATTTCGTAATCGTCTCGGTTTGGCGGCGCCGCATGTATGGGAACCTGAAAAATAACAGACCCCTCTTCCCACTCCTTCCCCCGCCGCGCTGTGTACCCACCGGCGTTGTAGTATAGTGCACAACTGAGCGATCGTCTAATCGGTTCAATGTCGATTCCAATTCTCAACTGTGATCCTTTCACTCTCCAACCTGCACGAAGTGGCTGGTTCCAGCGGAATCGGGGTGTCTGTGGAAACTATGTATGCAGTTCTCAACGCGTTGGTCACTATTCGGATGATTAGACGGGCATTGTTAATAATTTTCGTCCAGGGATAGCCGTATCCATAAATTATAATTACTGTTGAATTATTAAGTTCTCAATTAGTTAATATCACGTTTAAATTTTAATTATTCCAGTAGTTATCGGTTTAAATAGTCAAATTTTGAATTATTCATTCATCAGGAACTGCGTTAGGAAGATTGACGATTATTTTATAATCGGAAATCCGTTATAAGGAATTTAGTATTATCTACTTAATGGAAAATTTATAGTTCCATATTTTTAAATAGTTAATTCATCATCAATTGGAAATGTAGATTATCAATTATTTTACTATTTTTGAAAAAAAAACGATTTTTCAAATTTTCAGTTGTTCTATAATTGAATGGAGTGCGAAATGTATGTTCGCTATACATTTCCACATCCATTGCGACCTTTTCCATAACAGAAAAATATTTTCATGAGTTATTTTTGGCTATTTTATCAGCCTCCGCGTTTGTGGGTAATTTCGCTTCAGAAAAATTCTGTGAAAATTCATGGAAAAATTGAAAATTCATGTCATTTTGTTTCTGAATATTCGTGTTCCACTGAAAATTCAATCAAGTTGTGAAATTTCCAACTCACTCCCACTAAAAACTCACGAATTTCAGTGAATTCTACTTAAAACTTGAAATTTCATAACCATTCTTTCCCTAAATCCGATTCAATGTCACTCTTATGAGATATACTATATCTTCCATGAAATTAAAAAAAATTTCTAACAGTGCACTGGAAGTTCTCGACGTCGATCAGTCCAGAAAAAACGTAGCGACTCGACACGTAAAATTCTCCTCACATTCTCCCATCCATCCACCTTCCATTCTGCATTACGACATTGGGGATATCCCTACATCGCCGCAAGTATTCACGTCTCATTATACATTAGTTAATTCGTTAACATGCCGTGAGAGGTATACGTGTCAGTGTTATTGGTACATTCGAGCGAGGGCCCATTATCTTCGCGAAGCCAAAAGTAGAAAGCACTTGTAACATTGATGGGTCTCAGGGCAAGTGGCGGACCAGTTGCTTTTACGTGCATAATCTCCAGTCACGAGCCATCATCGATCACCTGCCACACGTGTTTTCATTCTTTTTCACTTCGTTAAAGTGATTTGAGGATCTAAGATGGCATGAGTAATTGGACATCCATATTTCCGTGGATTTTCGCTTCCGAATTTTTTTTTTCCATTGTATGCGTCGAATTAGAAATTTCCAATTTCTTTGTCACGATAACTAATTTTTGCCTCAAGATTTCGAATATGCTATTTTCAGAACATGTCCGGATTTTAGATGATAACTGAAAAACTAATTCTTTAAACGAATACAACTGTGACTTAAAAAATTCTTCTCAACGTCATCTTGATCGAGATTTTTTTGTATCCTATGTGACCTTCCGCAAAATTAATCGCATGGAATTTGAAATCACTCAATTCCTTTTGTTGAATAAAAAAAAGTCATTAAAAAATTAAAATTTCATGATATTGCATGTCTACACTCGTAAAAATGGTTTATTTGAATTTAATAGAGGATTTATTGGCCTCAAATGACATTTATGTAATTCAAATAAACTATTTTTCTGGGTTTACCTTTTCTGCTTTGGAATGGAAGCATTGTATTCGTCAAATCGAAATATCCAACTTGAAAAAAAAATTATGTTGAAACTTATATTCAGGGAAAGGTAAAAAATTTTTACGTTGGGGCATTGTTGAATTCATCGAATCATTCTAAGCAAAAATATATTGACTATGTTATGTCGAAGGCAATTCCCCACTTGTTTTAATAAAGAAGAAATTCTTCTAAAATCGCTGAAATTTTTCATCAAATACTTCTGGTACTTGAAGAAAGTAGTGTGAACCCCCCTAAAAAAGCTTTTTAATATTTTTTGTCATGATAGAATCGTAATCATGATGACAATTGGATTCTAATCGAATCAATTTTTACAGATTTAGCACTATAAATATAATACTATCCTCGGAGTTGGCAAGTCACGCGAATAAAAAAATCCACGTAGGCGTTTGTCTGACTGAGTCGTTGAATGCGCGCGGAATCAACAAACAGTTGTTCAAACTTCCGGCTTATACCACCTCCTCGTCAACTTGCGCTCATATACATTTCCCTCAACATCTCTCCCCATTCCGCAATTCCCGTCATTCTCCTTGATTTATCGACGCACTCTCTTTGTGCCTCATTGTACGTCGTATACACGACTCTTAATCGCGCAATACGGTCATTAACGCACGAGCGGGAACCCGCCGAAAGATGGCTAACTTATGTACACGGCCGTTCGTATGATGTAAAAGTTCCCGGTTTGCCATTCAAAGTCGAGGACGCGACGAATTTCTCTCCATTTAGCGGGAGATTTTTTTTTCTTCTGTTGGAAATTTTTTATGTGTCACTGTTAAAGATTTTGGTTTGAAATTTCCGGGGCTTACTTCGGAATTTTATCGAGTGACTCAGTTTCACTGGATTTTCAAGGAATTTCGTCATTGAAGAATAATAATTTGATGGAAAAATCAGTGAAAACTGGAATTTTCAGTTCAATTATTCTGGTGCTCAAAAATGTGAAATTTCAATGAATTCTCAGTGAAATCTGACATTTCATGATTGTCTGAAAATTAGTTATAAAAATATTGGTTTTATATCATTTTTAACTCGCAAATTTTCAAACCGCAGCCTTCTAAATTGGGCATGTTTCCGGGAAACTGAACCTGTTGTTTCTCTGTGAATGAAAACATTATTGGATGATCAATAAATACGGTTAACGAACCTCGAACGAACTGCAAATGAACTTCATTGCTTGTAGCCTTAGATAAACATTGATGTAGCGATGCATTTACACTCTCCACTTTTATCCCCCTTGTTTGTATTTAACGAACATCTAATATGCGAGAAGGCCTCGACGTGAACAAACACACTGTCACATGAGTAAATTTTCACTTAACGTAAAGTTTGCGCTACAGTTTGTCCATCTATCTAGGTAATTTACAAATGGGTTGATGGGTTGTCTGCTCTATAATTAGAATTTCTGATGTTTGTAAAATTATTGAAGATAATTTGATAAGACAAAGACGTCGATTCAAGAAACCCCCATCATTTAATTATGGCTACACTGTTAGAAATTTTTTGAAATTACATGGAAGAAATTATAGTGAATCTCATGAGAATGATATTAAATCAGATTTACGAAAAAAATTGTTATGAAATTTCAAGTTTAAAATTGAATTCACGCAAATTCATGAGTTTTCAGTGGGAGTGAGATGGAAATTTCATCTGACTCATCATTTCATCTTTCAAAATATTTTATTGACTATTCAAGAACATTGACTGATTTATTAATAACAAGATCAATGGAAATTCCATGTAAATTATTCGTTGTTAAAAATTTCACGATTTTTTGCTTGAAATTTCAATAGTAATTTTCTAACATTGTAATCTTATTGAATTTTCAGATATTATGGACTGCACTATCAGTTGCACTTGGCGTGGAGTTGAGGGGTGATCTTGTAAGAGGTACACCATGTATAAAAAAATATCATCAGCTGTTCTGCCCAACTGCTGGGAACACATATCCAATGTAAGAAATTTTCGTATTCAATAATATCTGACAAGAATATTTTGTCTATTGAATACATGGAGATCTGACGAAGATAATAATTTCAGAGAGAGGATAGAGCAATTTATCGACGAGAATAAAGCCCTCATGAAACGAATGTACGGTGATTTCGAGATGGACAAGGAGTATGGGCCTGAAACAAGTTCTTCCCCGAGACGAAGGAAAAAAAGGTCATTTGAGGAGCATGACTTACCTGATGGAGGTCCCAGTATCGGGAACAAACAGCAGATAGACCCACGATTTATCGAGGGTGGTGATTCGTTCTTCAATAAAGCTCGAAGACCCAGACAGTCGTTCTCGAATAAACCGAGCGAGACTGGAAGGTAATTCATCTTCAAGTAATTTTACTTCACTTACAGAAAAATCAAAGCTGTTATTTACGAATAGGCACACGTATAAAGAAAAATTAATAGAAAAATTTGGCGAATTCGCTAGAAAATTATATTGGAATTCTCTAGAAATTAGATTAGATTAATTTAATTTTATTCGTATTCTTACTATATATATATTTCCTTAATTCACTAGTTGCAACATTGAATGAAGAGGAATTAAGTTAAAGATCAATAAAGGTTTGTTTTTGTGATCAAGACAAACACACAAGACAAAAATAATGAAAGAATACCGATAAATTCGATTTCAAATCCTTGTCTGTTAATAGAATGAATAGAACAAATGACAGAAACAGAGAATAGGAAACTACAAATTTTATCGGATTATTATAATGTAATTCAAGGGAATTTTCACTAAAATTCTATTTATTTTTTGCGCTGATTGTATGATATATTTAATAGAAAAAACTCAATAGATTTCGATTTTTCCATATGAAGATAATTTTTGAATTTTTTCTGTAAGAATACTTGGGCATGAATTTTCAAATTTTTTTCACTCGGATCCTTTAATGCAAAACAAAAGAAAATATAGTAGAAAAAACTTTAATAAATGGTGCCCAATAATTGTAATAGAGAAAATCTGAAGAGAAAAATTTAAACAGAAAAATCTAATAAAAAAAAACTAATAGAATTTTAACGAGAATTCTCTAAAATTTTAATAGAATCCCCATAGAAATTCTAGCGAATTCCAATAGAATTTCCTAACGAATGCGCTACGGTTTTCTATTGAATTTTTTCAAACGTTTACAAGGAACCGCATATTTTCAGCAAGTGATAGAATATTAGTCTAGTCTCCTCACATTTCCACTCTACAGAATTATAGGATTGATAAATGATGAATGATATCTCAAATTCAATCCTGAAAAAATATCCTATCGGAAAATTCAAGGTAATTAATTGAATATAATGCACGTGAAAACAGTATTACGCTGTACAATAGGATAATTGATTTTTTTACCAACAAAATTTTCATCTACATGTTTTCTTCCACATTACTCATTCCCCAGGTAGACAAAGGCGTGTAAAGTATATTTGAACTTATGAATGCAATCTCAACATTCAATGTCATACAAGAATGACTAGACTATTATTAAATTGAGTATGTACCTGTAATTGCCATGGAAATGGTGGGAATGTAAAACGCCGAGTTTAACTGAACATTTTAAGCAGTTAAAAGTGAATAAATTTCCTCATCTCATTTCTCTATTTAATATTCAAGGGTCGATGCTTGCGAATCGAAAGTGGAAATAGTAACTCCTTATTGGGCGAGCAACAGTGCTGGAAAAATTCGTGCCATCGTTAACACTCAACACTTTGAGCAGGCAATTCATCAGGAAGTTTGTTCGTAAGTATTTCTTCCGAAAAAAACGTCGGAAAAACGAAGATTTCAATAGAACTGTAATAGAATTTCAATGAGAATTCAGAAGTGAAGCGCTGGGTTTTTCTGGCAAATTTTGTCGTACTTGTAATTTCAATATATTCGCGCTAATGAATTTTATCAAGATATATTTTTGTGATTTTGAAGATGAATTTCTATGACGATGCATGTCAAATTAAATTTAATGATTCATTGAATTCAACATTTTCCCAAAGTTGGCAGCCAACATGGCCCCAACATTAAAATTTTTGGGGAATGAGAGAAGTTTGAGGGAAATACTCCGATTCATTTCCAAGCTCGAGGGGTATTTGGCGGATTATTTCCTATATCATCATTTCGATAAATGGAATTGTAGTATTCGGTATCATCGTGGTACAATCGACAATTTTTTGTTATTTCCCAACTGCAAATTACCGAACGACGGGAAACTATCGGTTATAATACCCCGAAAGCGTCAAAATTATCGGCTATTTCCCGATAGCTACGTTGCGTAGCAACGGGAGGGATGAGTTTTACAGAATAAAAATCACGAGCGCTAAGCGCGAGTGATTTTTCTGCAAAACTCATCCCGAACTTGAGAGAAATATCCGATGAATTTTGAAGGTCGAGGGGTATTCGGAGGAGCATTTCCTTCCTCCTGGGTTCGACCAATTAGAGTGCAGTGGTCGAGGTCACGTGGCACCTTACACGAACATCTCACAGAAGTAAAAAAAATGGTTAATCTTGTTATCAATTTCTCTTAAAGAATTCTGGCCAAATCGACTCTTTTTGAATGACTCTTTATCTTGAATTAAATCAACACAGCCTCACACAAGCTTTTTTCACAGATTGAAATGTCAAAATCAGAGAGAACTATTGACAACTGTGGAATTACCATTATTTTGATAATTCACTAGTAGCCTGGTGAATTATTATAATAAAACCGACGTGAAAGTGTCACGCCACCTCGAATATTGCGCTCTGATTGGGCGAACCCAGGAGGGAGGAAATTCTCGATGGAATTCTCTTCTGATTGTCCACAGGACTTCGAATACCGCAATTCTATTGGTCGCAAGGGTGATGGGGGGAAATAATCAAAATAATTCTACTTCCACTCCACCGTAAAATGCAAAATCCTGCATTCTCACTGATTGAAATTCAAATGGAGAAAATAATCTGCAAAATTAATTGCCTGCAATAATTCTCATCTGTTCCTTCCCTCTGATTGATTCCAGGAAAACTCATACGAATCGGTGTAATGGTGACTGTGGATGTGAGCAAAAATACAAATGGCACAGATTGCTCGCTTACGATCCTGACAATGACTGCAAAGGAATTTTCATGGACTGGTTCTTATTCCCCTCCTGCTGCGTATGCCGTTGTGATCCCCAAGGAAAATTCCCAAGTACTTCCTCAACCCCCAGCACCCAAAGAGGTTGATGAAGAAGAATTGAAAAACCTTTCCACGACGAAATTCCCAATTTTTTGTTTTTTTTTAGACTAAAAAATCAAAACTACTACGAGAAAAATGCTTTCAATTAAAAACGAGAATCCTTCTGTTAAATTTCAATTGTTTGTTTGAAAACTATATTTAAACTTCCAGAAATTTCTCAATTTAAAAAAAAATTATTTATTCAATTCCGAGAATTCTGAAATATTAAATGCCAATAACATTTTTGCCTCAATCTGTGCAATCACGCAACGTAAAATTGATAATTGGGCTTTCGTGTCCCTTCAGAATGACAGAAACATGACGACTGAGACTGGTGATTGCGCAACAATATTAAGTGCACGTTTGACCAGTGTCTGTGTGGTTATACAGTGAAAATTGCATAATTAAGTGAACTAGTGCTTCGATATTATAATTTCATCAGACAAAATGACACAAAAATAATTCGTGCCTGCGGAAAGGAAAAAAACTCGCGAAATGACACAGAACATTTTAAAAAATGCCGCTTTTTTCCACGAGAGAAAAAATAATGAGAACAACTCTTCAGAGATTATTACGATAATTGTCCATTATTTTCCATGTAATCATTTTGTATTTTGAATAAACGTTGGAATACATTTTAGTGTCCATTCTGGCACCTTGCGAAGGTGAATAAAACCGGAGTGGTTTCATTCAGAACCTTGAGAGTCTATTTTCATGTTGAAATTGTTTGGATATTGTCGCTGTCATGGCTTAGTTTCTAGCAACTGTGACTTGTCGAATTTATTTTCTAGTGCGAGGAATATTTACTGCGATGCCAACTCCCACACAATGAATTGATCGTATCGTTGTAATCAACATCGTTATAAGAACCTTGGCATGAAAATTATCATGCACTAGTGGCTAGACGAGTGAATTTAATGGCCATTACAAAATGTAAGTGATCCACTTATTTAAGAATGTGAAGAATGAGATCATTGAGTTTCAGAATGCCCTCGCAGGATCAATAAATTCTTCGGGTGTTTATTGTTGAGAATTATGAAGATTTTGCAACAATTTTCACTGGAATGCAGCGCTAGAATTTTTATTTTTAATGTTGCGAGTTTGAACTCAAGTCAAATTTTCGTGTGGATGGAATTTTTCCCTCTTATTCTTCAATAAATCACTGTTCCCTGTGTCTATAACTTTCCCTATCAACGCGGCTCGATCGCAGCTATATACATAGGAAAAAGCGGGGATTTTTTGAGACATCCCCACGACCTTACGACTGAACCAAAAAATATAATCCTTAGCTAGAAATGTAGAAATAACCAAAGGCCAAGGGTAACCAAAGGGTAAGTAATCCCTTTGGTTTACTTTATCTGGCTGCGGCTGAAATAGATAAGAAAGTTTTTCTCTATTGAAAAATGATGCGAATTATAATGCAAATATGCAAGCTGGTTTGACACATACCCCCCGCCATTAGGAGACAAGTTCACAGCGGTTTGGCTGTCAAACCAACTCACAAGTTTGTATTATGATTTACCCCATTTTCCAACTGAGAAACGATCTAGGATCCACTTCAGTCGCAGCCGGATAAAATAAGGTACATTTCTAGCTAAGGATCATATTTTTTGGTTCAGTCATAAGAGCGTGGGGATGTCTCAAAAAATCCCCGCTTTTCCCTATATATATAGCTACGCTCGAGCCGCGTTAACTAAGATAATAACTCCAACCGTATTTCACTCTTGAAGAGACTATCTCTTTGGGACTGTCAGAATGATTAAAATGTGATAGCTCACGACATCTGAACGAGCATAGGTGCATTTTCCTCAATGATCTGATTGAACTGAAATTAACAGTTACATAAGCCTGAATTTTCAATGACGAAATTTCTTGGAATTTCCATGTAGTGTAATGAAAATTTCCAAAAAGTTCACCGGAAATCCATGATTTTTACAAGGAATTTTCTTCACTTTTCGATTTAAATTTCTCTTCATGTATCTGTGACGTCTTGACTCTACCTTGACGACACCATAAAAAATACTAGAACAGGTAAACTGGAAATGGATTACCCACGCATGCATATTATATAGAAAGTGCTTTATTTCGACAATTTGTTCACAAATACTCAATACAATTTTAATATCGTGATAAATACTTTAAAAGGTAAGGCCTACACTTCAACCAAATGCTCTCATTAAAAAACCTTCCCATAAAAATAAAAAATAATGTTAATACGATAAATAAAATCCACGGGTATGATTTTTTATTGACAAATCGCAGATCGTGATAATTCACCGTAGTTTTTGTTCATCAGTTTGGACGGATATCTGATAAGCCACATATTTAGTTTCCCTTCAATTTCCTCTTTGTGTTTGGACGCCAATAAGCTGTATTTATTCGATTATTTTTATTACTTAGTTATTCGTTAACGCGTGGGAGCACTTTCTATTGCCTTTCGGAAAGAGGAGAACCATGTGTCAGGCCAGGTGTGCAACGAAGCATTCAAGTCGATTTTGACTATTGGTCAGTTTTCAATGAATATCTCGGAATCTAAGGCAGATATCAAAATTTTTGTCATAACCTTTTTTGTAGCTCTTAATTTGCGCTACAAAAAAGGTAGTTACAAAAATTTCGATATCTCCTTTAGATTCGGAGATATTCTTCGAAAACTCAACTGAGAGCCAAGTCACCTTAAATCGCTTTACCGCTTCGCTACTGAAATTACGCTCTGATGTGTTTATGGGGTATCATGGGAGGGGAGAGAAGGGTAAGTATCGAATGTACAAATAAAAGGGGATCGAGGGGGAGATAGGAAACTATAAAAAAATAACAATGTTACGGAAGGATATTGTTACATTAAATTAGTTTTGTACCTGCGGTGCAGATTTGCGCCGATAGAATTACTAAGAAAATCCCAAAAATCAAAATAATTTTCATTCTTGTTAGTGCAAAATATTTCGTCGAGATTTCTGCCTCATCTGTTTATCCGTTAAAGAATAATTAATCTTCACCACCTGCATTACCTTTTAATCTGTTTCATTTTTAACTCTAAAATACATTAATATCGGTACTTATTCGGATTTATGAATGTAAAATATTTGATAAACACTCAATTTTCTTTTGTTGCTCTCTCTCTCGCTGCATTGGTTGAGGTGACTAGACGCCGAGTGATTTGACACCAGTGAGGAAAGGCGTCACAGCGAGGATGATGGCGAATAGTTGGAATAGACGTGAGCCTGTGATGGAGGTGCCTGAGTTACAGGCGTCGGTGCTGCATATGTTGCAGGACACGATTGATCTGGTACTGTATTCTGATGCTATCTGATGACCGCAGGGTCCATCCTTGATGTCTCTTTCGTCTGCACGAAGGGTATCGCATTGGCGTGAGGTTGTGGTTCTGCCGCCCTCTGTACAATAGAAAGGATAAAATTGTGTGAAGAATTTATAACTTTTAATTGCACATTTTTGTGTCGACAATGCATTCTCATGAGTCAAAATTAATTCTTTTTTTTCTTCTTATTAATGGAATCATTTTTTTCATCCCTTTGACACTTACCTGATGCTTCATTCTTCTACATTATTGGGTTAACTAGTCCAATTTCTTCCAATATGGAATCGAAAGATAAAATTCAATGAATTTCTATTTTTCTTTGTTGTTATTCAATTTTTATTCTTTTATACAAATTACTGCTCGCTTCGCTCGCCCTCCGATATGACCCTTACTTAGACCCTTATTCTGACCCTCGTGATCCTTTATTTGACCCTTGTGACATTTAATGTGACCGTTGTGACGCTTCATCTGACCCTCGTGACCCTTATTCTAACCCTCACAACTCTCGTGACTATTATTTTGACCCTTGTGACTTTTAGTTACTGACCCTTCATTTCTGATCTTTGTGTTGTTTAATCTGACCCTTATTATAATCCTCGTGACCCTTATTTTGACCCTCGTGACCTTTAGTTTTTGACCCTATTTTTTTTTACCTCCGTGACCGTTAAGCGGACCCTTGTGACCCTCATTTGGACCCTTAATTGATCGTTAATCTGATCCACACGACCTGCAATTAGAACCTTATTTGGACCCTCAAGCACTCGTGACCTTTAGGTGACCCTTGCGACCCCTAATCTGGCTTTGATGACCGTTATTCTGACCCTCATGACCCTTATCTTGGCCCTCGTGACCCTTATTTTTACCCTTATGACCGTTCATTTTGGAGTCTGAATTCTGAGCCCCGAACTTTCATCACCAAAAGTCGATTTGGATTTTTATAATATAGAGATTCTATGAAATATTTTTTAAATTTGTTTATTTTTCCTTTATTCTTTTAGTTCGGTCTCCTTCATTAAACAATTCACCCAAAAAAATGAGAAATATAAGCCAAACAACTCCAGTAGAAACAATCTCAACACAATGGTTTGTAGAGAAAAATCAAAATCCATTAATTAGTTTCATAAAATATTTTCTATTTTAAAAAATGCGCAGAAACGCTATGGCTTGTGTTTATTAACAGAAATTGAATTTTTAATAGAATTTCCTAGCAGCTGTGTTGAGTCTCTTCTGCTGAATTTTTTTGTACGTGAGAAATTCAAGTGCAATGTTAATGATAATTATGCAAACAAATTGGGTGTGGCATTGTCCTTGAGACACCTCTAGTATAACTCTCCTCTGCCTCAACTTATTATTTCAATTTACCAACACTTGGAACCCAACTATGAGTCACTTTAAATTGCAGAGAGGAGGGAGGGTTCCGGTCGGATGAATACGATGCAAGAATATTTACTGTCTTTGTCCCTGACGAGTTGTAACGTCTCTCAATCTCCCATTTTGTCGTTATCCCCAATGATCTCAAACATGCGTCATTCCTCAAAATGAATATTAACGTGTTGCTTCTGTTTTTTTTTCAATCTTTGTATTTTACACGTACTCGAGTGGCCGTTGTTACGACCGCCTACGAGAGGCACGTTAATTGGGGAAGATGACTGTACGAGAGTCTACAGGAAATTCGCTAATTATGCATAATGTGGACCACACAATTTTACATGGGTATTGATGATAACATGTTCAAATTAATTATTGCGCGAGCTATTTTTAATTACTCAGGTTTAAGTTTAATGAAGAATTATGTTTTCCAAAATGAATAATTGCTGCCAATGTACAAGTACTTTAGCTATTTTTTTCCAGTGAAATTATCCTTGAAATATTTAAAATATATCCTTGATTCTTTCAGAAACACTTTTCGGGCTATTTTACACTGTTAAAAATTTTCTTCTGAATTTTCAGTGCCTAATTCGGAAAATTTTTATTGTGTTCGTTCCACTGAAATTTCAGGAAATCTTCTCATTGATTTTCTGTTCAATTGATCTGGAAATAATCAATGAAATATTTGATTTTCCAGTTCAATTATTCTGTGAAAATTGAAAAAAAAACAAGAAAATTCAGGGAAAAATCGAAAATTAATGTCATTGTGTTTCTGAATATTCATGTTCTACTGAAAATTCAATCAAGTTGTGAAATTTCCACCTCGCGCTGAAAATTCATGCATTTCCGTGAATTCTACTCAAAACATGAAATTTTATAACTATTTTTTCCCTAAATCCGATTCAATATTTTCCAATGTTTCAATATGTAATATATTCGTGATGGAACGCGGAACAATAGTGATAAATAAGAATTTATTCGAGTTCCGTGAAGCGCACACATTCTAGAATGTCAGCCATTGACAAGAATTTACTTCTCTCAAGTAAGTATGATCCACATATTAGGAAATTTCTCGCTCAATGTAACTCTAACGAGGTCTTTTATCGCGGTCTCCCCTTGAGATAGTACATTTTCGTCATTAGGCCGAAAAAAACTTGTCTGGCAAATATGAGTTTGCAATCATATGAGCTAGAAAAGTTTTTTTAGGCCGTGTGACGAACTAAATTTATGATATTGTGTCGTTTCCTCCAGTATATATCCAAGAAGCGCTTCCTTGTAGTCCATCGAATTATCTACAAGAAATATCTTTTGAACTCTTCCCAGACCCCCTAATCTAATTAATTCCGCAACCCATGTCACTACAATATCAACATAAACTGAAGTATATTTTCAAGAAGAAGTACTTACGGGTGTAGACAATTTTTCTGCAGATATATCTCTCGTTGTATCCGTATGAAGTTTGTGACTGTTGGGAATTACAGTCCCTCAGGAACGAAATCCTAGTGTGTTCGGTAGCATTTCCGAGATATTCGCACTGTGAACTGCTGTCACTGTGGCAGATCCAACACTGCAGAGCAGTACCTGAAGGTCGACAAATCGAGCTCGATCAATTCAATAAACCATCTGTGCCGCTCGCTCGCTCGCTTCGCTCGCCCGGGTCGAGCTAACAACTTCCCGATCGATTCCCGTTTCTTGTTCATTCAGCAACCGTAATCCGAAATATTTAATTGCCGATTCCACACGGAGAGAAAAAGTGGATAAAAATTACCTCAAAAATCGTGACAGATTTTACTATACGAATGGTAATCATGGAGCGAAATGTAATTCAGTGAAAAATACTGGCTTTTAGTAGATATCTTACAATTTTCTCGGTAAAAAAATACATCTGTGGATGCAAAAATTATCCTCTTGTTTAGTAAAATTTCCCACACCGGCAGGGGATTGTTTGTTTTGTTCTCGTCTGAAGGTCATGGGGACGGACGGAAGTGAATTTTTACCAAACGGGTTCGGTACAAATCATTCTCCGTTACAGAAAAATTATACGAAAAATTGGAGCAATTATTCACGTTCCCTGGGATAATTTTTGACGGGATCCAGGGTAAATTTTACAGTTTCGGTACAAATCACCCTCACGTCAATTAGTCAATTTAGTCGGTTTCCTCGGTTTAGTCAGTTAGTCAATTTTCCCGGTTCAACGGAGTAAAATTCACTATTAATCTTGCCCTTTTTCTCCTATTTAAGGTGAAAAGTACTGCACGGAGAGAAATGTTGAGTAAAAATTACGGAACTCACAATTCGCTCACCGATTACGGAACCGACTCAGAAAATTTAAGTAACGGTATCGTAATTTTTCACAGGAGATTGAGATAAAAATTCTGGAACGCTCTGGAAAAATTCCGTGACAGTTCCGTAAAATTTTCTACACCCACATTTCGCTCCGGAATTGCGGAAAAGATACGTCATTTTTATTAAATATTTCTCTCCGTGTGGAAATCGAGGTTGCTCCACGATTACTTAACTTGTCTGGTAATTTTTCTCCAACTTTTTTCTCCGTGCAAAATAATATTCCGAAATACGAAATATTTTACCCTCAATTCCGGAATAACATTCCGGGAACTTCCTCGCATTGAAATTCGTTGGCATGAACTGACAACGCGCCATCCGAATTCTACTAAATTGGTTAATTTCCCTCAAGTAAATCTGTTACACTCCATCAAATATATTCGCGTCGAACATATAGTTATTCACCCATTGAAACATGTTTCAATTTGTAACAACAATAATATATTGAAATATCCCAAGGTTCATCTAAACATTCGAGTCATTTAATTCAATTGACTCGCGTCAAGATTAAAAAAATTACCGGTTACGCAACTGGTAACTGCGATTGCTGTCCAGAAATAGTGAATGCGCCAAGAGACTATGTAAACTCCTCTGAGTGATGGACAAAAAAAATTGTCGTAGCACAAAACATCGTAAAAAGTCTCCTTGTCCCAGAATTAAATTCCCCTACATTTCATAAATGACCGTTTTTCACGCGTAAAAACCATTTTCACCGATAGCCATGAAATTTCGGTGTTTTTTTTTTCGCATTTGAAGGCAACTCCGCGTGTCAGATAGTGGAATGCGTCAATGATGACTGCATCGGCAGGATTTACCTTTGCGTAACGCTTCAGGCGCTTTAGCTACGCCTCAAATGTCCCATGTTTATACTCACAATGCTGTTCATACTTGAACCCACTATTACCGCGTGATTTGTTATAAAAACGTGAGAGGTGAGTCATTCTCTGTTTTTTTCCGCTATTTGAAACACGTATTTCTTATTATGATTTTTTCAGAGGTCTTTTTTATTGTGACAGGAACTCTCGGAAGTGGTTATCCATCCTCTCGGCCTCGCGCTCGATTTTAAATCCCTTTTTTACGTGGGGAAATTCTAGGTGAAACGTGAGAATTTAATGCGCGGAGAGAGATTTAATGGAATTAGGTTTTTTCCGGCGAGCGGAGGTCGAGGGAAGGTAAGTGGTCAATTTTTTGGTGGTTTGGCGGAAAAAATTGGGTCTGTTGATGGAAATTTAGACGGCGAAAAAAGTTGAAGAGTTGTCAGCACTTTTTCACGCTTGAGGGAGAAACTTATTTGGTGATTTTCACCAACTAGTTGTTGTAATTTACAAATAAGTCGATGAAATTCACAAATTCAACAATTAATTGGCAGGGATGGCTATCAATATTACCATTCTTCAATATTAAAAGAATTGCCGACTTCATAATTCATAATTTCATGGAAAAATCCGTAGCAACTGTACATTTCAGTTCAATTATTTCGGTAAAATGAATGAAAAATCAGGAAAATTCAGAAAAATTCCAGGAATTCTAAGAATTTTAAAGAAATTACCTGAAAATTCAAGGGACTTCGGCAGTGAATATTGATTTTCATTTGGAGGTTCATGTAAATTGTGAAATTTTCATTTTTCTGCCGCTAAAAAATTCGGGGTTTACTTGAAGTTTTAGAAAAAATTGAAATTCTGTTAACTTCTTTCCCTTAAATCAAATTCAAACTCTTTTTCCAAAAAATTCAGCCAATTTTTTTAAACACTATCGGGAAAAAGTGCGAGACGAATAGTAAATTTTTCTATTAGCCCGTAAGAATTTACTGAATGTGAGTGTAATTTGTTCCAAAACTGTAAAATTTAGCCTGCATCCCACCAAAAATTATCCCAGTGAACGTGAATAATTGTTCAATATTGCGTATAATTATTCTGTAATGGAGAATGATTGTTTACCGAACGCGTTCGGTACAATTTTACTTCGTGAAAATATGAAATTTCGTGGAGAAAAAATTCCACGGTCAATTATTTCTGGGAGACGGAGAATTTCCACCGTTTAATATGACACGTCCAGGATTGAATTTATTCGTTGCAATTTATGCTTTTGGCGGTAGCCAAGAAGTAGATTCAACCTTGGATTCTAATCACGATGAAATTTTACGAGTGATGAATTCTGAAATCAAGTGATCTTGTCATTCACTTTGAGAATAAACGCGGATGTTCATCTCGCGCTAATATCCCCCTGCATCCACACAAAAAATCCACCTCAAAATAATTCACCTCTTGTGAATTTCCGTATGAACTACCTTTCGGAAAATTTCAAGAAAATTAATTGAATAATAAAACTCCCGATTCAAAAAAGTACGATGAATTGATGAATTTCTGACGCACGAGTTTAATCTCACACCCTTATCGACTAAACCCAATCACATTGAATTTTAATCAGACATCGGCATATTCATAATTTTGAATAAGTCAATTGTTAATATTACTCATCAAGTTTTTGATTATTAAGTTAATCATCAACCTAAATATTTAAATTGCGAATTATGTTATCAATCAATAATTGAGAAATTTAAATTATCAATTATTATATTATTTTTTAAATTTCAATGAAGATAAGTAAAAACTTGATTACTGTACGATGCAACTTCTCATAATATTACTAAAGTAATGATTAACGCCGAATTATAATTTAAATTAGAAAAATTATTTATCGCTCGCCCTAAATAACGTGGTTCAATAAAAATTCCGATTTCAATTAACAAATCATTTAAAATTTATCAAATAAATTCAGTAGCTAAGTGGTAAACCGGTTTAAGTCGACTTATCTCCCAATTGACTTTTTGAGGAATATTTCCGAATCTAACGAAGATAGCGAAATTTTCGTAACTACATTTATTGTAGCTCTCAATTGGCTCTACAAAAAATGTTGTAACAAAAATCTTGCTATCTCTCTTCGATTCCGAGATATTAATGAAAAACTGGTAAATAGTCAAAATTGACTTATACCGTTTTACCACTTCGCCACTGAATTGTACCCATGCCTATTAAGATGGGCAATTATTTCCCCGATTATCTCCCCGACGAAAAACTATCTTCACGGTGATCCAACCGATGATTGATCGTGAGTCACGATTATAGGGGCTCCCCCGCTCGAAATGTGCACCCGTTATTTTTACACCCTAACGAGGAAGTTCCCGTCAATCACTCAAATTCCCAATTTACACAAAATCTCGGATAGAACCATCAGAATTCCAACGAAAATGTCGTGCAAGCTCATCGTCGGTGCGTCCCGCCGCGCGGAAACCTAAAGCGCCCACGAAAATTCAACACTCCGAAAGAAAAATCGAAATGCGCATAAACGAAAATATATGCAATGCATCGAATTATTTGAAGAACCAACGACTTACCGGACTGAATCGCAAGGGCAAAAGCCAGAGCGGCGAACATACAGTTGATGCTTGATGCCATGTTGTTTATAATGTTGGTAAACACGCGGGGGAATGAACACGCTTTGGACTACAATATTCAATGTGTGTTTGAGACCGTGGTCACGCTCGTACTGAGGCGTCTCTTCGGTTGCCGATGAAATGCACGCGTCCGGGGGGATCGGCAGCGTCTCCTTGGAAAGCGCCACGGCGTCACGAAAAGAACACTCCCTCGTATATTCTCGTTCAACTACACTGAAACGTAGTATACAAGTACGTTTTCCCCCCCATTGTGATATCCCTACCACCATAGGCCCTTCTATTGCGTCTCACTACGTTAACAGATCATAGGCAAAGTCACTTTGTCCCTCAAACACAACACGGAGGGGAAAAAATGACGGATAATTTGGGGATTCGTGATCGGACAGCGATGTTGGTTCCAGGGAGGTTGTGTTGTTGGACGTGAATCAAATTTCAGGGACAGTTTTGTAGTGGTTTTTTATTGACACTGAAAAAACTGGCGTGTGCGGTGTTAGAAATTTTTTTCAATTTTATGGAAATTATGAAAGTATCTCTCACACTGATAGACTGTTATTGTTGCCTTTTACTGAAAAACATATCTTGAATTTCTGATAAGATGTTTTTCTCCAAGAGTGAACTTGAAATATGTGACAATGTTGGATGGCTTGATTGGTATTGCACCTCTCACTGAACATATGTCCGCGAATTGCGCATCCTTTTCTACTAGTAAGTGAGGGAAAAAGATGGAAGGCGACGGATGAATTATTTCCTTCATAACGTACACCCAGACAGATGGTTTATTAGAATTACATCACCTTCATTCGAATTAAATAAATCGTTTTCTTCAAATCAGTCATAATGAATTTTTCATTCAATCTAAAACTTGATTTTTAGTCACGTTTTTATTCACATCAAACAAAATGGTTTGCAATGAAATCATTGGTCAGACGGCGAAGAGCGCGAATTTATTAACATGTGATAACCCAGTGTGGATCAAATAAATCGGTTATTACACGGAGAAAAAATTGCAGGCGGCTGTATCTTTGAAACAGCTGCAATTGTACGTGGATACGTCCATGGTCTTTCCTTCTTCGTCGAATTGCCTAGAAATTCCTTGCATTCTCTCGAATTTTCTAGATACTCCTTGAATTTTACTAACCAGGACGATAATATTTGCATCCATAGATGTATTTTTTTACCGAGAAAATCTATATCCACTAAAAATCAGTATTTTTTCACTGAATTACATTTCGCTCCACAATTACCATTCGTATAGTAAAATTTGTCACGATTTTCGAGGGAATGTTTACCCAACTTTTCTCTCCGTGTAGATTTTATTATTCGAGAACTCCTCTGGAATAAATACATTATTTATTTGATGATTAAAAAATTCGTTGAAACGAATGGAAAAATTTCAAATATTTTTATTGTATTCAAATGCGTCCGTTCGTTGATTTTTTAAAGGGAAAATCAATATTATTCGCCGCTTTCTCAAGCCTATTCTTAGAAAAATATTATATTTACGCATTATCACGGGAGAGAGGTCTAAGTTCGTTGTCATCGGCAACGCCCACCCCCATAACTTACAATGCAACTATGAAAATTGATGGAGGCAAAGCGCCGTTACTCATAAATGAGCAGATGAGGAAATAAGAATCGGGGGAAGACAAAGGAATGGATGAAATAGTCATGAAGTTGTTACGATAGTTATGAGAATAGGATTCGTTTAAGCGGTGCGTCAAGCGGATGAGGATGAAAAAATGTAGATGGAGTTTTATTCATCGACTGATGCGTTGATTCAATCGCTATTTTCATCTTATATTGTCTGTGGAAATCATTGAATCGTCAATTCTTGACTCATTATTATCAGAAATAATGGCATGGATACAAATCTTGTTTTCTTCTTGGTCGTCATTCAGACACTGTTAGGCGTTTTTGAATTTAGTTTCACAGAAACTTCAAGGAATTTCGTCATTGAAAATTCAACTTTTTATGGGACAATCGGTGGAAACTGTAGGTTTCGGTTCAATTAGTCCATGGAGGTGGGTGCAAGTGCGGAGAATTCAGGCAAATATTCTCATGAATTTTCAATTAATTGCAAAGTTGAGGATTTCTTGTCTTTCTGCTGTGCAATCTGAGATTTCATGATTTTTTTTGCTTCCAAATGAGGGCAAAATTAGTCAGGATAACTCTAATTTTGCCCTCAGGAGTTCGAACGTGGAAAAAAATATACCTGAATTGAGGATAAAATATACTTGAATCAAGTATATTTTATACTCAATTGGGGGATGGGTATTTCAATTCGAAGATGATTCTTTTGTATCAGGCCGGGTTATAGCAAGTCTTCTTAAGTGGGCCGTGACTATATGCACCATTGCGTGAATCACTCCCGTACACTCCATACACTCCACGCATGCGTGAAGTTTGTGTGTTTCACGCAGCCGAATTTTCATACTGCTGTGTATTTCACGCAGTTGAAGTTTCATACTACTGTGTGTTTCACGCAGTTG